AAACCTTTCAATATAGATGCACGATATCACTGCTTTCCGGCACCATGCAGACACGTAGGCTGCTCTTGGTTTTTATGTATTTTTCAGGACACTTTAAAGAATACAATTTAGAGGCAATCTACAGACAATTATATCTTTTGGAACTACTTAAATGTACTGTATATAAAATGAATTTTCCATGCCTTTTTAAGACTTTACCTGGCCTAAAAATCACATTTTTGGTTTTCAATGCTTCTGTTGGTTAGCGTCCATTTTTTTAAGGTCTGAAAGATTGTGATAAAGAGATTTGCCCTTAAGACCAGAGAGGACTGAACAGAGATGAAAAACATCATGTGTCCATCACTTTAACTGCTGTTCTGATTCATGTGAAACATTCTGAAGCACAGAACAGTTGTGGTTTTTGCAGAAATTAAATGTGTATGTATGAGTTGTGTGCTACAGTATGTGTCAGATAGTCACTTCCCACACTCTGATAAAACTCACACTCTGATCATTCTTGGAACCAGCACATTAATCCATGCACCCAGCTGTGGGAAGCTAACACACAAGAGTCTGCCAACCTAACAGCAATATTTGCACACATATGTTGTTCTGATAAGATATAAATCCCAAATAAGATCTCTTTAATGTCTCAAGACAGCAAAATGAGATTTAATGTAGAGCAAATGAAGTTTTTAAAGTTTCACAGACACCGTTCATCACTTTTCCACTAGGAGTGCCATTTAAAAATAAAACAAATGAATTACCTATTTATTCATTAAAAACAGAAGTAAAAAATACATTTAAAATGTTAAATTGTTTATTCTATAAAATGTAATGTGACAATAAAAAGATACATAATTTCAAATGGTTTTATTATATGTGACCCTGGACCACAAAACCATTCATAAGAGTCAATTTTTACATAATCTGAAAGGTGAATAAATAAGCTTTCCATTGATGTATGGTTTGTTAGGAAAGAACTATATAATATTAGAAAATCAAAATATTGAGAAAATCGCCTTTAAAGTTGTCCTTAACAATGCATGTTACTAATCAAAAATTAAGTTTTGATATATTTATGGTAGGAAATTTACAAAATATCTTAATATCCTAATAATTTTTGACATAAAAAAATCTATAATTTTAACCCATACAATGTATTGTTGGCTATTGCTACAAATATATCCGTGCGACTTATGACTGGTTTTGTAGTCTAGGAACATATATACATTTTAATAGTTTTAAATTGCATTTTAAAAAAGGATTGGCCAATTGTTTCTCTTAATCCTTTTGCCAAATAGCATTTCTAGGAATCAACAAATGTATTTGTAGAAATTGTAATTTAAATGGTTAATTTAAAATAATTTTTTAACTTTTACATTTCTTGTAAATGCATTTTAAATATGAATTAACTTTAGTTTTAAATGCCTATTTATGTCTATTCATTGTCATTTTGAAAGTGATCAATCATTTATCCTTTCATCTTTGAATTAATATATTCTTTTTTACAGTATTTTTACTACCACTCCAAGATATCAAAATCTGCAATTAAAACTCACAGATTTGATAAGATTTTTTTTCATCAAATTCGTCCAAAACCGAATTATCTAAGCTAAGATCTGCCCCTTCATTTACAGCTATATATTTTTTATATTAAAAATGAACTCATTTGCATCAGTCTTATTGCTTTTTTAGGATTTTTAGGAAAAACAAAGTTAATTCAATAAAAAAAAAATAAGATAAAGCAGATTATTAAACAAAGCAGACCTGAGAACTTCATTCTGTTCCTAAGCTATGAAACAGCAATAAAATTGAAGACTGGTTTGTCTTAAAATGAAATATACTAGTTTAAGACCACCGAGATTATTCACCCACATTCAATCACCAAAAACAGTATGAAGCACTTAGATTTTCTCTTGGACTTTATTCCCAATCATATCAAGTCTGATTGCTTCCTCTATATAATTTGTATAGAGATTTGAAATGACACATGAAGCACACAGTGACTCATATACTGCTTCATTCTGCGTCAGTGTTTGATGGTGATGGACTTAACCTCAGTGAAGAAGTGGTACGAGTCTTTTCCCCCCTCTCGACCAATGCCCGAGTTTTTCATGCCACCGAACGGGAGGTTTAAATCTCTGACCAGCCAGCAGTTGGTCCACACCAACCCAGCCTGCAGTTTCCTAGCAACCCTGTGCACGCGCCCCACATCTCGGGACCACACCGTGGCGGATAAACCGTAGCGGACGCCGTTGGCCCGTGATATCGCTTCCTCCTCCTCATCGAAGGGTGTCACACAGGTTACAGGGCCAAAAATCTCTTCCTGCATCAATGCGGAGGAGTCTTTCACTCCAGAGATGATAGTGGGCAACATGAAATAGCCACCCGCATTTTGTTGTGGAAGGATAAGTTTGTCCACACCCTCCCCACAATGCACCTGGGCACCTTCTTCCAGCGCCAAAGCAACATAACCTTTAACCTGTAGGAGTTAGCAGGCAATTTAAATGTTTTAAGTGTCTGTCTATTTGTAAACGTAGTAATTTCATTTTATACGAAGATAAAGACTGTATTTTTCATATATCCACTTTCTAATCCCACACTGTCTGACACTTAACACTGAAAACGCAGTTTGTTTTATCAATAGAAACACATCTGTGATTATCATCAGACCTTCTGTAGATGCTCTTTGCTGATGAGCGCTCCATTGTCGTTGGAGGGGTCAGAGGGCACTCCAGTTTTCCACCGACGAGCCGCCTCCACGAAACGAGCAAGGAATTCTGGGTAAATGCTGCGCTCAACAAAGATTCTGCTGCTGCACAGACAGATCTCTCCCTGAGAGAGAAGAGAAAAAGATGCAAGTAAGTTCTTTAGTAAATCTCACAATTATCACTGGGTTGTGTAAACTAATTATATACAGACACTGTAAATATTAGCACAGAGATGATGTGTTTGTGTGTGTGATGTGAAGGCCTAAGTGAGAGAAAAAGAGAAAGAAAGAGAAGGAGCGTGAGAGAACACAATGTACAATGCTGTATTAACAATTTATGTGTTCTGAGCACCACGGTGTGGCAGAAAACTGAACTACATGGTGTCATCCCATTAAAAGGAAAGGTTTGAGACAGTATAATATAATATAATTTCATAGTTAAACAATATGTTGTTTAATTCTGCTAATGGAGTCAGGTTATCATCTGTGTTGTTACTGTTAACTAAAATTGAATAATTTTCAAGATAAATTTCCCTAAAAAAAAAAAAAAACGGAAAAAATAAGACAAATGAAAAACTTACACTTAAAAAACTAATTAGACATGTTGCCTTAGCAGCTAACTTTCCTTTAGTTTTCTTACACAAACGTGCACACACCCCTCATTAACCGAGAAAACCTTTCAATATAGATGCACGATATCACTGCTTTCCGGCACCATGCAGACACGTAGGCTGCTCTTGGTTTTTATGTATTTTTCAGGACACTTTAAAGAATACAATTTAGAGGCAATCTACAGACAATTATATCTTTTGGAACTACTTAAATGTACTGTATATAAAATGAATTTTCCATGCCTTTTTAAGACTTTACCTGGCCTAAAAATCACATTTTTGGTTTTCAATGCTTCTGTTGGTTAGCGTCCATTTTTTTAAGGTCTGAAAGATTGTGATAAAGAGATTTGCCCTTAAGACCAGAGAGGACTGAACAGAGATGAAAAACATCATGTGTCCATCACTTTAACTGCTGTTCTGATTCATGTGAAACATTCTGAAGCACAGAACAGTTGTGGTTTTTGCAGAAATTAAATGTGTATGTATGAGTTGTGTGCTACAGTATGTGTCAGATAGTCACTTCCCACACTCTGATAAAACTCACACTCTGATCATTCTTGGAACCAGCACATTAATCCATGCACCCAGCTGTGGGAAGCTAACACACAAGAGTCTGCCAACCTAACAGCAATATTTGCACACATATGTTGTTCTGATAAGATATAAATCCCAAATAAGATCTCTTTAATGTCTCAAGACAGCAAAATGAGATTTAATGTAGAGCAAATGAAGTTTTTAAAGTTTCACAGACACCGTTCATCACTTTTCCACTAGGAGTGCCATTTAAAAATAAAACAAATGAATTACCTATTTATTCATTAAAAACAGAAGTAAAAAATACATTTAAAATGTTAAATTGTTTATTCTATAAAATGTAATGTGACAATAAAAAGATACATAATTTCAAATGGTTTTATTATATGTGACCCTGGACCACAAAACCATTCATAAGAGTCAATTTTTACATAATCTGAAAGGTGAATAAATAAGCTTTCCATTGATGTATGGTTTGTTAGGAAAGAACTATATAATATTAGAAAATCAAAATATTGAGAAAATCGCCTTTAAAGTTGTCCTTAACAATGCATGTTACTAATCAAAAATTAAGTTTTGATATATTTATGGTAGGAAATTTACAAAATATCTTAATATCCTAATAATTTTTGACATAAAAAAATCTATAATTTTAACCCATACAATGTATTGTTGGCTATTGCTACAAATATATCCGTGCGACTTATGACTGGTTTTGTAGTCTAGGAACATATATACATTTTAATAGTTTTAAATTGCATTTTAAAAAAGGATTGGCCAATTGTTTCTCTTAATCCTTTTGCCAAATAGCATTTCTAGGAATCAACAAATGTATTTGTAGAAATTGTAATTTAAATGGTTAATTTAAAATAATTTTTTAACTTTTACATTTCTTGTAAATGCATTTTAAATATGAATTAACTTTAGTTTTAAATGCCTATTTATGTCTATTCATTGTCATTTTGAAAGTGATCAATCATTTATCCTTTCATCTTTGAATTAATATATTCTTTTTTACAGTATTTTTACTACCACTCCAAGATATCAAAATCTGCAATTAAAACTCACAGATTTGATAAGATTTTTTTTCATCAAATTCGTCCAAAACCGAATTATCTAAGCTAAGATCTGCCCCTTCATTTACAGCTATATATTTTTTATATTAAAAATGAACTCATTTGCATCAGTCTTATTGCTTTTTTAGGATTTTTAGGAAAAACAAAGTTAATTCAATAAAAAAAAAATAAGATAAAGCAGATTATTAAACAAAGCAGACCTGAGAACTTCATTCTGTTCCTAAGCTATGAAACAGCAATAAAATTGAAGACTGGTTTGTCTTAAAATGAAATATACTAGTTTAAGACCACCGAGATTATTCACCCACATTCAATCACCAAAAACAGTATGAAGCACTTAGATTTTCTCTTGGACTTTATTCCCAATCATATCAAGTCTGATTGCTTCCTCTATATAATTTGTATAGAGATTTGAAATGACACATGAAGCACACAGTGACTCATATACTGCTTCATTCTGCGTCAGTGTTTGATGGTGATGGACTTAACCTCAGTGAAGAAGTGGTACGAGTCTTTTCCCCCCTCTCGACCAATGCCCGAGTTTTTCATGCCACCGAACGGGAGGTTTAAATCTCTGACCAGCCAGCAGTTGGTCCACACCAACCCAGCCTGCAGTTTCCTAGCAACCCTGTGCACGCGCCCCACATCTCGGGACCACACCGTGGCGGATAAACCGTAGCGGACGCCGTTGGCCCGTGATATCGCTTCCTCCTCCTCATCGAAGGGTGTCACACAGGTTACAGGGCCAAAAATCTCTTCCTGCATCAATGCGGAGGAGTCTTTCACTCCAGAGATGATAGTGGGCAACATGAAATAGCCACCCGCATTTTGTTGTGGAAGGATAAGTTTGTCCACACCCTCCCCACAATGCACCTGGGCACCTTCTTCCAGCGCCAAAGCAACATAACCTTTAACCTGTAGGAGTTAGCAGGCAATTTAAATGTTTTAAGTGTCTGTCTATTTGTAAACGTAGTAATTTCATTTTATACGAAGATAAAGACTGTATTTTTCATATATCCACTTTCTAATCCCACACTGTCTGACACTTAACACTGAAAACGCAGTTTGTTTTATCAATAGAAACACATCTGTGATTATCATCAGACCTTCTGTAGATGCTCTTTGCTGATGAGCGCTCCATTGTCGTTGGAGGGGTCAGAGGGCACTCCAGTTTTCCACCGACGAGCCGCCTCCACGAAACGAGCAAGGAATTCTGGGTAAATGCTGCGCTCAACAAAGATTCTGCTGCTGCACAGACAGATCTCTCCCTGAGAGAGAAGAGAAAAAGATGCAAGTAAGTTCTTTAGTAAATCTCACAATTATCACTGGGTTGTGTAAACTAATTATATACAGACACTGTAAATATTAGCACAGAGATGATGTGTTTGTGTGTGTGATGTGAAGGCCTAAGTGAGAGAAAAAGAGAAAGAAAGAGAAGGAGCGTGAGAGAACACAATGTACAATGCTGTATTAACAATTTATGTGTTCTGAGCACCACGGTGTGGCAGAAAACTGAACTACATGGTGTCATCCCATTAAAAGGAAAGGTTTGAGACAGTATAATATAATATAATTTCATAGTTAAACAATATGTTGTTTAATTCTGCTAATGGAGTCAGGTTATCATCTGTGTTGTTACTGTTAACTAAAATTGAATAATTTTCAAGATAAATTTCCCTAAAAAAAAAAAAAAACGGAAAAAATAAGACAAATGAAAAACTTACACTTAAAAAACTAATTAGACATGGGTGAATAAATAAGCTTTCCATTGATGTATGGTTTGTTAGGAAAGAACTATATAATATTAGAAAATCAAAATATTGAGAAAATCGCCTTTAAAGTTGTCCTTAACAATGCATGTTACTAATCAAAAATTAAGTTTTGATATATTTATGGTAGGAAATTTACAAAATATCTTAATATCCTAATAATTTTTGACATAAAAAAATCTATAATTTTAACCCATACAATGTATTGTTGGCTATTGCTACAAATATATCCGTGCGACTTATGACTGGTTTTGTAGTCTAGGAACATATATACATTTTAATAGTTTTAAATTGCATTTTAAAAAAGGATTGGCCAATTGTTTCTCTTAATCCTTTTGCCAAATAGCATTTCTAGGAATCAACAAATGTATTTGTAGAAATTGTAATTTAAATGGTTAATTTAAAATAATTTTTTAACTTTTACATTTCTTGTAAATGCATTTTAAATATGAATTAACTTTAGTTTTAAATGCCTATTTATGTCTATTCATTGTCATTTTGAAAGTGATCAATCATTTATCCTTTCATCTTTGAATTAATATATTCTTTTTTACAGTATTTTTACTACCACTCCAAGATATCAAAATCTGCAATTAAAACTCACAGATTTGATAAGATTTTTTTTCATCAAATTCGTCCAAAACCGAATTATCTAAGCTAAGATCTGCCCCTTCATTTACAGCTATATATTTTTTATATTAAAAATGAACTCATTTGCATCAGTCTTATTGCTTTTTTAGGATTTTTAGGAAAAACAAAGTTAATTCAATAAAAAAAAAATAAGATAAAGCAGATTATTAAACAAAGCAGACCTGAGAACTTCATTCTGTTCCTAAGCTATGAAACAGCAATAAAATTGAAGACTGGTTTGTCTTAAAATGAAATATACTAGTTTAAGACCACCGAGATTATTCACCCACATTCAATCACCAAAAACAGTATGAAGCACTTAGATTTTCTCTTGGACTTTATTCCCAATCATATCAAGTCTGATTGCTTCCTCTATATAATTTGTATAGAGATTTGAAATGACACATGAAGCACACAGTGACTCATATACTGCTTCATTCTGCGTCAGTGTTTGATGGTGATGGACTTAACCTCAGTGAAGAAGTGGTACGAGTCTTTTCCCCCCTCTCGACCAATGCCCGAGTTTTTCATGCCACCGAACGGGAGGTTTAAATCTCTGACCAGCCAGCAGTTGGTCCACACCAACCCAGCCTGCAGTTTCCTAGCAACCCTGTGCACGCGCCCCACATCTCGGGACCACACCGTGGCGGATAAACCGTAGCGGACGCCGTTGGCCCGTGATATCGCTTCCTCCTCCTCATCGAAGGGTGTCACACAGGTTACAGGGCCAAAAATCTCTTCCTGCATCAATGCGGAGGAGTCTTTCACTCCAGAGATGATAGTGGGCAACATGAAATAGCCACCCGCATTTTGTTGTGGAAGGATAAGTTTGTCCACACCCTCCCCACAATGCACCTGGGCACCTTCTTCCAGCGCCAAAGCAACATAACCTTTAACCTGTAGGAGTTAGCAGGCAATTTAAATGTTTTAAGTGTCTGTCTATTTGTAAACGTAGTAATTTCATTTTATACGAAGATAAAGACTGTATTTTTCATATATCCACTTTCTAATCCCACACTGTCTGACACTTAACACTGAAAACGCAGTTTGTTTTATCAATAGAAACACATCTGTGATTATCATCAGACCTTCTGTAGATGCTCTTTGCTGATGAGCGCTCCATTGTCGTTGGAGGGGTCAGAGGGCACTCCAGTTTTCCACCGACGAGCCGCCTCCACGAAACGAGCAAGGAATTCTGGGTAAATGCTGCGCTCAACAAAGATTCTGCTGCTGCACAGACAGATCTCTCCCTGAGAGAGAAGAGAAAAAGATGCAAGTAAGTTCTTTAGTAAATCTCACAATTATCACTGGGTTGTGTAAACTAATTATATACAGACACTGTAAATATTAGCACAGAGATGATGTGTTTGTGTGTGTGATGTGAAGGCCTAAGTGAGAGAAAAAGAGAAAGAAAGAGAAGGAGCGTGAGAGAACACAATGTACAATGCTGTATTAACAATTTATGTGTTCTGAGCACCACGGTGTGGCAGAAAACTGAACTACATGGTGTCATCCCATTAAAAGGAAAGGTTTGAGACAGTATAATATAATATAATTTCATAGTTAAACAATATGTTGTTTAATTCTGCTAATGGAGTCAGGTTATCATCTGTGTTGTTACTGTTAACTAAAATTGAATAATTTTCAAGATAAATTTCCCTAAAAAAAAAAAAAAACGGAAAAAATAAGACAAATGAAAAACTTACACTTAAAAAACTAATTAGACATGTTGCCTTAGCAGCTAACTGAAATAAAAGTGAATTACTAAAATTACTGAAACTAAAAAATAAAGTCAAACAGCATTATTAAAAAAAAATAATAATAAAAATGGAAAAAACAAATAAAATTACTGAACAACCTAAAATGAAAATGAAAAATGACATTTTATTTAAAATATACTATAACAGTATATAAATAATACTACAATAACAGATTATCATATATTATATTTTACTTAGAAGTCGCATTTTAATAGTATGGCAGTATGTAATTCTGCACAAAGCTAGTCTTGAAAAGAGCAACCTGCAGGATTTGATTGGTTGAGCTCAGTAATATAGCACATTTCAGCACTATATGAAAATACAATCTGATTGGTTAAGCTCTGCATGAGCTAACCTGATTGGAGAAGCTGGATCGTACAGTAGTGCTGATGCACTGCTCCATGTCAGCATCAGCAAATATAACAGCTGGGTTTTTCCCGCCAAGCTCCAGTGAAAGCTTCTTACAGTACGGTGCACTGCGCTCTGTTATCAGTCTTGCTGTAGCTGTGCTCCCCGTAAATGAGATCAACGGCACATCAGGGTGGGACACCAGTGCATCCCCGGCTCGTGGACCCGTACCAAAGACAATGTTGATCACTCCAGGTGGAAAGCCTAGAAAAAGCACACACGGATTATACAGAAACATTCACTCAATTCGGATGTCATATAAAGTGCATGCCTGTAATAAAAGAAAAACAACTACTAGCCTCAGGCTATCCAAGATGTTGATGAGTTTGTTTCTTGATGAGAACAGATTTAGAAAAATGTTGCATTTTATCACTTGCTCACCAATTCTCTGCAGTGAATGGGTGCCGTCAGTCCAAACAGCTAAAAACATCACAATAATCCACAATAATCCAGTATATCAATGAATGTCTTGTGAAATGAAAAGCTGCATGTTTGTAATAAACAAATACATCTTGTGGAATATTCTGATGTTTTTATCAGATTTTCAGACTCTCGTTCTGACGGCACCCATTCACTGCAAAGGATCCACTGGTGAACAAGTGATAGAAAACAATTTCTCCAAATCTGTTCTGATAAAGAAACAAACTCATCAACATCTTGGATGGCCTGAGAGTGAGTAAAGTTTGAGCAAATTTTCATTTTTGGGTGAACTATTCCTTTTTAAAATCTGACATAGATAAACACACAAATCCCTCACCAGCTTCCTCCAATAGCTGACACATCATCCAGGCAGTGACGGAGGTCATTTCACTGGGTTTCGCCACCACAGTATTGCCAGCAGCAACAGCCGGGGCAATCTTCCAGGTCAGGAGGTACAACGGCAGGTTCCATGGGCTTATGAGACCAGCTATAGACAGAGAAATTTAACACAGATAGACCATATGAAAGTGAGTGATGTACTAATGAGAATAATAGTATAGTAAGAATAGACAGATACATACCCACTCCTACAGGACAGCGTACTGTGTAGTTTAGACAGCCCATGTGATCCATCTGACTGCAGTCATTAGTGTGATGCAGGACAGATGAAGCAAAAAAACGGAAGTTGTACGCTGATCGTGGAATGTCCACATTTCGGGCAAAAGTTATAGTCTTCCCTGGAAAAAAAGAAGTGGAACTGAGTCCATTTACTGCTTTAAGAGACTTCCAAAACAAAATGAACGAAAGTGAATGAAAATGTTCAGTGACAGAAAGTATAAAGCAATACTGACATATCTATCTATCTATCTATCTAGTTAATTAAAAAATTGCTAAAAAGTCTAAGTTTAAGCTAAAGCCAGATAGACAAGAGCTAGATGACAAAAGAAAAAAAATAATAAAATAAAAGCTTTTTCAAAATATTAATAGACACTACAGTAGTATATAAATTCTATTAATAACACTCTTATGTGTGGCCATTCAGGTCTCTAGATGTTATATAAGCCACTGAAAAACACCATATCTGTTGACCACAAGAAAAGTACATTGCTGACTCACTTAAATTCTGTCCATCTTTGGTCTATTGTGCACTAGTAAGTCCTTTGAACTTATTTAGTGTAAGCTGTTTAGTGTGTCCTGTATTATGGTACTGTATTACAGTGCAGTTTCTAGTGTTTTACCCTGGTCGTTAGACTCAGCCTGGACAAACTCCTCCAGTCGAGCCTCTATCAGGTCTGCTAGTTTATTCAGTACTTTAGATCTCTCTGCTGGACTCTTTGCTGACCAATCAGGAAAGGCCTCTTTGGCTGCCCTCACTGCAGCATCCACCTATAAGCAGTGGGAAAAGGGTTAACTCACGTGAACTGGGTATATCTTCCTTTGTACAGGCATTGGCCTATTTAATTAAGTGCATAAAAACGGACTCTGACTATAAAATATATTAAAAAAATTAAGTGAATCTATAATATAATATAGCACAAAACAGTAATGGACTGTACATCCTACATCTAAACTCCTTTCTGTTCCACTGACCCAGACAAGTTCTTCTGGTGTGAGCTATAATAGTTACTAATTAAACACTGGACCTTGAGCGTCGCCCACCTGATTATAACCAGTGTTTCTGTGAGAAGTATGAGACCAAAGGTAAGTCACCCTGACTCTGTATCATTACTCTTGCTTTCCTTGGAATTTGTGTCTTTAGCCAAATAATCTTGTGACTAGTTACATATTATTACAGGTAAAACTACAATGATTTTTTTTACACTAGAAACAAATGAAAATGTTCAACTAGTGAAATACAGACAAATGGACAAGACAGTGTATCTACAGCAACACAGAACATAATTGATCATGCACAACTGACATCTTCAAATATTAGAAAGAAATTGAGAATAATAAGAAAGAGATTAAAAAAAAAAAATCTTACCTCCTCAGGTCCACTGTCTGGAACTTTGCAATAAACCTCTCCAGTCGATGGGTTGAAAGAGTCCATTAGCTTGGAACATGGTACAAACTTCCCACCAATATAGTTTTCCAGCACTAGGTATTTGTCTTTTGACATTGTAGGAAAAAAAATAGATTAAAAATCAGTTTTGCAGACAAAAGAAAAACCTGAAATGTTTGCGCACCAGTCAGCACACTGTTACATATGAGCTTTCACCGGACTCTTTTGCAATCTGTTTACTCAAGTAAAAGAGAGGTTGTATAGTAAACTAAATGGCTCCTCCAGCAGATATGACACTCATTAATTAGAGCATGAGTTGGACATTAAGAGACTTTAACTTGCTGGAGGTTTTGAGATATTATTCACATTTCTTTGAAAAGGGAATTGTTGTCTTGAGTTGGATATTAAACACCGCTATTGATGACTGACCAATACATTTACAATAAATTTTACTATTCTAAATAAATCAATACAAAACTAAATAAACTATATAAGACTAATCCTCAACACATTTAAAGGGATTATTTAGAGACAAACGTGTTTATAATATACTGAAATGCTCATTTGGGCAACTGGAGTGAGTGCTTTTATACAGAAATAGCACCCAATGCTGATAAGGTATTTGAGGAACACGTTTTGAGGAAGCTCGTTCCGGAAAGAAATGAAAAGCAAAATATGTACAGATGTGGAGGCGGCTGATAGATGTGTCACAGTATTAAGAGGTTACATTGGGACTGTTTGTGTTGCTGTTTCTGAGTGCAGTACTTCAGGCCTGAAATAACCCGGGATGCGGAGGATGAGGCAGCAACGTTACCTACTTTGCCTGGTGAAATACACAACAACACAAATGATCATAATACCACCACAAGTCCACAAATGTTAAGAAAAGTCACTGGTAAGGCATGTGATGGTTTATATTTACACAGGCTAATAATGTTTCACCTTTGGTTCCTTAAAATAACTATATATTAAAATATCTCAAACTGAACTCTTTTGAGGATATGTGTAACACCGGTAACGTTACTGTATTGTGACTAGTAAATGTATCGACAACAATTTACCTTTGTTAGTAGCTTAGTTCTTCAAAATACTGTAGCTTTTCCAGTAACAAGCTACTTTTTCCATAAAGTATTGGAGTAGCACGACGAAACAACTTCGCAGCAGGAAATTATGCAAACGCCAGACTCGTGATACGGGCGAAGTGGTTCGTTAAATGAACCGATTCAAAAAAAAGATTAAATCCCTTTACTAAACTTCCTGTGTGGATTTTCAGGTCTTTTTAATGCGAAATATTCAGTTACATGCTGATATTCGTTAAGTTTTCGACAATACAGTTATACAAATTATAATTAATTCTTGCTTTTGTTTTCAAAAACACTAGTTTTTCTACAAGAAAAATGGCTTTGATGAAATAATATCATTAAAAAGGTAGCAATGACAAAACATTTAGCTACAGAAATTTACTGACTTAAATTATGAGTAAATAGTTTGAAAATTAAGTGACTTATTTTAGGTTAATAGCAACCAGGTCTCCAACAGAAACTGCGGACATGTGATAAACGTTTTAAGAGATCTTAAATCACATCCAAGAGAGACGGGCCACACTTAAACCAAGAAGGCTGGTGGATGTCTGCCATCTTCTTACTTTGCAGAAGATGGTACTGCTGGAGGAAATCCAATCACACTTAATTTCACACTCACTTTATCTGACTCAGGTTCTCAACGCAACACTAGGCCTCAATTTCAATTTCATGAGATAATTCCTCTTCACTGAGAGACCAATGAAAGTGTCTCTTGAGGCATATTTGTCAATTTGAAGTTTAGAGTGAGATATTACACCAATTCACAACAGGGAACTTAGAAAAAGCTTCCAGAATATTGACAACAGGAGAGTGAAAGCAAATAATGAAAGTGTGAGGATCAGAATATGGAAAGACAATAAAACCCTGTTATATATACACATCACTGCTTTATACATGTCACTGAGAAGCTTAATTAGAAAGATTTTATAATTTTATATCACTTTAATGTTTCATGAAGCAGCATTAGAACAAAACAAGAAAGTTTTATGGAGAAGAGCAGAGAGTGAGAGACTTTGCTCATTCCAAATCAAAAGACCAGCCCCAGAGAAAAAGTGGGTGGATGTAGAAAAAGATATAAACCACCATGCTGAGAAAAATAACATCTATAAGGAGAATTAACAAGCACAACTCCTACTGTCAAAATGCCATTGTATGCAGTGATGCAGAAAATTAAAGGAAGAAAACGATCATTAGACAATTATTTTGGATGATTTAAAAAGAGGATCAAAGAGAACAATGAGCTGAAATTAGAGAAAGACAGCATTAAAAAGTTGCTATTGTCAAAAATGTTCTTTGTGGGTAATTCAGAAAACTCTTTGATGCTTTTAAAGCAGAGCTAATGTCAGAATCTCTTGAGACCGTGATTACTGCACTTGTAATTGGCCTAACTCTGCAGCACAGAGCACACACATAATAACCCAATGCTCAGTCGAGAAGTCATTTGTTACGCTTATTGAACCACTTCAGCAACCCCAGTGCTATAAAACTAAAAGTAAAACTTATTAATTACTATCCTGTGTGGTGGATAAGGTCTAAGCAGCATATTTATCTTCAATTTCAGTATATTTTCTTTATGCCTACCAGTGGAAACATACTATTAATTTTTCAGCGTATTTCTCTACAACCAAGAGGCAGAGACGAATTGATTAAACCAAGCTTCACTGAATCAATGTGTCATCGTCTTCGAGTCTTTATCTATTCTGAACAAGCTGCATTCGTGAAATCTTTTGATTATCAGGCCATGAAGTGGAAAATTACAGCAGCACGTTCTCACACAAGAAAACAACTTATTAGCTACATCTGTTAGTATTTGAGCACATATAATGAGCATCTGTCGGAGTGAGCACTTTCTGGAATAAGTGGAAAATTACATGATTCGTATAACTCACATTATACTGCAATAGTAAAGTGTGTTCACAAAACATCAATGCACTGGTATTCATGTCATTCAGCATCAGGCCAAAAGGTGGTAAAAGCCAAATCAAGAATTCATGAAAATTGTAAGGATGAAAACAAACAGCTTGCATGCAGGAAAAACATACATTCCTGTCCAGAGAATAATTGACAGTAAATGTTGAGCAGGGTCATAAAGTATAAAGCTCATTTTAACAGAATAAAAAATGAAAAATGGTAATTGCAACTTTCTCTCTCTGAGTTTATCTCTCACAGTTTGGACTTTGTTTCTCGTAATTCTAAGAAAAAATCTGAATTGTGAGATATATACTCAAAATTGTGAAATATAAACTGCTCTTTTTTTTCCAATTCACTCACAATTCGGACTTTTTCTCTGAATTCTGAGTTTACATCTTGCAATTCTGTTTTTTTTGTTTGTTTCCACCATGAAATAAAAAAATAAAGGTTAACTGCAAATTTTTATCTCCCTTTTGTTTTTAAATTATGTGGTGGAAACAGGCTTCCACGATAAAACCAACAAACACTTTCCAAAATGCCAAAATAAATGTAAGACTGAATAAGTATTATGTATATATTTACTGGCCCAACAATACACACACGTTTTCCACAGTGATCAATATTTTTTATTTTTCTGATGAAGAAGCTTTTCCCCGATTGAACAACTTCAGCTTCGATACACCCAAACAAAATGTTCTTTAAATTAAAACCCCTTAATAATCAAGTCAAAAACAGATGAGTAAAAGTCATGTCCGTTAGGTCCTTAAAGTGATTACTGTTAGATTATAGACATGCGGATGAGTTTCTCCACAGAATATCTATCTATTTGCCCACTGGTTCTCGATCCTTCTGTTTTCTCATTAATGATCAGGAAAAGACTGAGTAGCAGCAATGGAAGGGAAGGTTTCATTCACACTGTCCCGCTCACATGAGAAACTGATGGAGGAGCTTTGTTGCTTAATCTATTTTCCCTTTTACAAATGTACACATCCTTAACTAATTTGATTAATTAACCTTAAAAACCTTCCATTTGAACCAAAACTAAATGTCCATTCTGTGCTGCCATCTTGTAGTCAAAAATGATGCACTTTACAATAATCTAAATAAAATATCAAATAATAAAACAATGAGTTCAGTTTATGATGCAATCAACGAATGGAAGCAAACCAACGTAAATTACAGGTAAATGTTCTCTGTGTGTTCCTGTGTGTTTTAAGAGGGTTTAAGTTGAAATTTTGGATGAATTATTACACAGATCAATTGTATACTGCAAGTTGAGGGGCAGGACAAAATGCAGTCTCTCTCTAACACACACACACACACACACACAAACATTCACACTCATTCTAGGGCCTTTAACAATGTGAAATGTGAACTGTGGCTAGATGTTGCCTTGCGGGCATCTGTGTGTATTCATTTTATGTTTGTGTTACTGTAGCTCTGAGGGGGAATTGAACTTCTGTCCAGAGGTTTCGCCCAGTTTTTTTTTTCTGGAGGATCCAGTTCCAACTGGTTCTTACTCTTTGATCTAGAACAGTATAAACATTAGCGGTATTAACAAGCAACACATTTTCATGATGCAATATCAAAAAATGCTGATTAATACAAAACGGGAATGTGTTTCGTGAGAAAAGGTGGACATGTACTGCCTTTTACCTCAGTGACAACTCCAGCAGCAATGGTCGAGCCCACATATCTCAGCATGAACCGCCCCAGTTCTTTATAGTCCTTATAGAGCTCCAGAGCCACAGGCCTCTGTGTTTGAATCTCCACCACAGCATTCTGTCCTTTACTCAAACACCTGCACAACATTCATACACCATCAACAACAAGCTGACAATGATTCTTCAGCAAAAACACATTATCATTAAAGAAACAATTCACCCAAAGATGATATCAGAAAGTGTCAATAGCAATCACAAACTTGGAATATGGGAAAGAGTTTTATCTTAGGTTGTTTTTTTATTCATACTAAAATTTTTATAAGTAATATTTTCAGGGGTTAAAGCAAAAAAAATCCTGGGCCTGAACTTTTTTTCCGGGGGTTGTGGGGTGAACACATACACAGGGTTATTTGGCAAAAAAAAAAAAAAGAAAAAAAAAGAACATTATTTGAAAATGATTTTCCTTGAAACTAACTAGTAATATATCTGCCCTTGCCATTAGCCCTTGACAGGCTCAGACTACAAGTACAAGACTCCGGTACAAGATGACCTACAATTTAAAACATGAAATTTCTGAAATTGTTTTGTTCAAAAGAAATAATAGTACATTAAATACTAGGAAATGAATATAAAATAGGAAATATACAAAGACAGTTTACTACAGAAAACTACAGTTCAGTTCAATTAACAACAGAATAAAATGCTCCAAGAACTGATAACTTAAACCGGGTTCGTACAGATACTGCAAAATGAAATTCCAGGACTTTCAAGGACTTTTCAAGCACTACTCTTTTGGTTTTCAAGGACTAAAATC